CTTTTGGGCACACACTAAAAGAGGGGCAGTGAAGGTGTGAGTATGGGGTGGGACGGCTGGGTTTGTATGTGGCTTTGTGTGCATGCACACACATGCACAGACTCGTGAGACAGATGAGAACAACCGGAGACGAAATGAAAAGAGGAGAGAGAGAAGAAAAAAAAAGGGGAAAGAATGAGGGAAAAAAAAAAGGTGAAAATTTTACACAAAATGGCAAGGGACATGCAAGTCCATGGATTTCATGTGTTGTTAGGTGACAGATGATGAAAGGGAGTTGTGAACATCATAACTCAGGTCCTGCATCGTAAATCTGCCGCGCACAACCACACTCTCTCTCTCTCTCTCTCTCTCTCTCTCTCTCTCTCCCTCGCCTGGGCCTGGGCTTCTCATGCACACACACACGACTCGTTCCAACTCACATGTGTGATGCATGTTTGTAACATTATGTAACGCGACTTCAGCTGTGGAGAACCCAACCACCTGTAGCACTGTGGAACTCACTTACGTTTTTTAAAGAGAAGGAACAGTAAGACAGCGAGACAGTTTCTCTTCTGGACACTCTCACTGCATATTAACCCATGATATTATTACAGTTTGAACACGTGGTAGACTTTGCTGCACAGGAAATTACAGGATAGAAAACACACTGGGAGGGGCAGCTTGCTTTTGTTGGTTTTAAAGGAGCCATAACCTTTAAAGATTAAATTATAACTTGCCAGTTAATGTCTAGGAGCATGTTTACATTTTTGAAGTTAAATATTTAAATAATTGACATTCAAGCTATCCATTAAACTAATTAGAGGTTAAAATAGAAAACATTCAAGAAGAATAATGAATCAGAAAAGTTCCAAAACATGAAAAAGCATTGTAAGGCTCTAACCAGCAACAATAAATCACCTTAGTTACTCAAACAATTGTCAAAATTTCAGGTTGGATGATGTTGTTGCATGACATATAATTGCAGTCTTCGCCTCATCAAGCCATTACACTGAGTATAATGCTATTCCAAACAAATGGTAATTGTCAGAGTGAAAAACGCAAGCCAAGAACATTCTTTCCACGTCCAGCAGCATCTCAGTGTGAAGCGAGGCTGCCGTGGACTCCGCCAGGTTTGCTTGTGCGCTCTCGTGTGTTTGCTTAAGAAGGAACAGACATAAATAATTTTGCTAATTGCAGAGTGAAGGTGACTGACATTTGGTTAGGTATGGTGTGGCATTCCAACACAGGAGTGATGTTATAAAATAATCACAGGCAAAGCAGCTATCAATCATTTAGCCAAGGTGTGAGGGAACAGTGTGATGACATGTTAATTATACACTTACACAACGGGTTTCTCCCAGCCGACCCAACAAACATGCCACAACCGAAAACCTCCACGGGGCTTTTAGGGAGTTGTGTATGTATGTGCTTGCATGTGTCAAACATTCAACTCAAACAAACTATATCATGCTTTCACCTGACAAATAAAGGAAAACAAATATGTTCATTTTTAAGAGGAGGAAAAATTAATAATTATAATGGACCACCGGGCAAAACGTGCCAAGCTTGATGTTTATGTGTATACACTGCATGGGAGCACTGTACCTCCCATTCAGGAACTGGTTATGTGATACCAGGACCATTATCATGGTACAATTAATATTTTCAGCCACTAGGGGGTGTCTGTGCACAACTCAAATGAACCATGCCTGCCTTTGCAGTCTGAGTCATCCAGATTGCAAGCTTCTCTCTCTGTAGACAGGTAACGCCTTCAGATGTGCACGGTAAGAGGGGGAGAAATGCTCTCTCCCTGAGTCATCTTTGCACAAAGGTTTTGCCTCTGGGAGGTAAAAAGACTCATCGATGATGATCATCGGTGCTTAGTGAGGATGTCATATCTAATCAATCATTTTTAAGACGCCACCCTCCCGTTGAATTTTTACATTAGAGTCACCAAATACCCAAACAAACCCGAGCACAAACACAAAAATCCATTAGCATTGCATGCGTATGTCCTAATATGATAAAAATTGGCGTTCATTATTTGTAAAATAAGACATAAATAGACCTCTAAATACACTAACAAGGCTGAATCATCATGAGTTAAATTGTTAATTGTAAATATAACATAGACGCAAACAGCAAAGATTTCTCCAGAACTAAATAGATACATATCTCAAAAGAGCAGACTTGTACATCGAAAGGATGAAAGAGGCACGGTCTGCTTGTTCCCCCGTCATGAAGCACCGACCATCAAACATGTTTCATTAGTGGGATTAACAATTACATTTTCCAATTGACTTTTTTCCATATAAACCCAGCATCCTTATTCCTATTTAATTGAGCTGGTGGATTTGAAGTCAGTTCTTAAAAAACAATAAAATGTTTGTCTTTTTAACTTTACGAGACATTAAGTTTCCTAGTACACATTTCCTGTTAATTATGTGTGAGATTTGATGGCCTTGATAAAAGAGCTGAGCGGAGGTATGGTTAGCAGGAAGCAGAGAGAAGACTGATGGAAAGACAGAAAGGGGGGGGGGGGCAAGTGAAGCAGGGGTAAAAAGAGGTCCTTAATAAGAATCAGAGTTGTTCATTAAGAGCACCAAATGTTTGCCCCCCAGCGAGACCAACTGCAAACAGCCCACCATGTACACTCTTCCTCTTTCTGCATGCGGGGCAACCACACCAAAGCTTGTGGTGAGGTTTGAGGCATGTAGGGAAGAGCGGAACCAGGAGTGTGCAGGCATGAAGTATGTGCTAATGTGCAAACTGAAAAACCTATGGCCAATTAATAAAACCATAACACATAATTCATGTCACAAACACTTATGAAATGGGCTGGTAATTGTTCAAATCTTAAAATATCTCTTTGTTGGCTGGCCCGTAATTGATCTCGCTCAGCAATGTCTTTGAAGCATCTGCGCTGTGTATGATTTACCTTGAAGATGCCCACCCAGTCTTTTGGGTGGGGAGTGATGTAAGGGGTCAGAGTATAGTGACACTCAAGGGGTGCTTGGGGCAGGAAACTTTTGCCCACATTTTGGAAGATGACGTGGGCAAAGTTGGACGTTTCCATTACGCTGACGCTGCTGCCTGGCGATGAGTCCACCACCTGGAATGATGACATTGTATCCTGTTGGTCACTTCATTGGTCTGTAGAACAAAAGAGCAGAGGGAAGAGGAGTTCTGTATTACAAACAGTACGGTAAAGAAAAGGTGTAAGTCTTTCTTTCAGTCACACAGATATACAAATACAATATATAAAATACAAATGAAGTTCGAATGTAGTAGAAAACCCAACATACTCTCAAATACGACGTTTCTGATTCAAGTTCTCACACCATCTCAGAAAATACAAGTATAAGTACAAAACCAAGCAGAGATGGAATATATTCAACCAGCTCTGAGCAGGGGGACAAACCATATTCTGAATAAAAAATATGTATAGAGTGCGGTGTTCTGTAATGACTGTAAAGCCCCCTGAGGCAAGTTTGGGATTCTGAGCTGTATAAATCAAACCAACCTGTCTTAAAATAGTCACAGCTACTATATTGTTGTTTTCAAATATTGTGTAACTGACATCACATTGACATTTACTGCACAACGAAAACTTTTGTTAAGAACTTAAGCCTTCAAGCCAGTGTTAGTGCTGCCGATCAACACTGTCAGTGCACTGTCTTCAAATTGGCACCAAGCCTGGGAAAAAAACATGTTTGAAATGACCCATGAGCATGATTTAAAACTGAGACTGTCCTCTTTTTTTTTAAAGTATGTGTACTTACAAGGGAACTGCATTTTTATTTTCTAAGTCAAATGACACGCTATTTTGAGAATTAACTACATGTGAAATCGAGGGCCGTAACAGGGTGAGGTACATCTCATCAAAGGACAGATCCAATGTAGTTAGAGCCAAGAAAATAGAAGGAAATTAAAGATTATCTTTACAGCATCTTTTCAAATGAGTGAAACATTTATTACAAGAACTAAATTATCTTCCCACCAACTTGTATATTTGGTTTTAAGGAGCAGAATCCCCTTACTTGATTTAGACAGTTAAACTGCATGCATTTTTTTTTTTGAATCTGTGACTGACACCCATTGAGAACACAGCCAAAACAACAAACAACTCTGTCTTACATGTTTACTCATGTCAGTGCCTTCCTAAAAGCCAAACTCGGTAAACAAGCCTTCACAACGTTGTCTTTACGCTGTCAATGTTTCACGACGAGTCTCACAATTAAAAACGCCACGACACACTGTCACACTTAGCCACTTAATCTTCTTCACGGTTGCTACGCAGCAGCTAACAGGCCATGTTGTGTCAAGTCATGTGCTAGCTAAACATTATCCCCCCGTCGATTAGCCGGCGTGCTGACACAAGACACAAGAGCATTTTTAAGGCGTTCATTTAGCTTTAAATAGAAAGAGTACCCGTTTCACATGAATAGCACTTGCTAATAAGACGGAATCTCTTCCAGACAGGCCGATGTTTTTGCCAATGTCTCCGTTGTTGTCCAAGCTCTGTCGATGCTGCTGCGTCTCTTCCTGAAAGTGCAGATGATGCACGACTTCCGGGATGCAGGGATGCTGAGGAGGATGCTGAGGAGGAGACTGCAGATGTCTCCCCGACTGGAGATAAATAGCCTATTATGTATGCTGATTAAGTCATCTAAATGTAATCTTAATTCCCCCTCCCACTTTTAAAAATGCATATCCCATCTAGTTTAAAATGATATTATAAAATCACTGTGAGGCACATTACAGGATCTAGTGGTGTAAAATCCCCAGACATAAAACTAATGAATAAAAAAACTAATTGTATTGTTTTCTAATCCGTAATAATTACACTTTATGAACAGTTAAGAATAAACACTGGACTTACAGGGGCAGTTAAAGGGCATGGAGTAAAAGTACAGGATGTCCCGCCTTTGTCTTTATCCAATTGGCTATGTCAACTCGACGAGAGCTGCGATTGGCGGAAATCCAGCTCAATCACACCAGCTCGGGTTAGGGCTTCCTGGTGACTTGACAGCTGTCACCGTACGCCGAGGTCAAGGGGAAAGAAGCATGGCTGCGTTGTTTAGAGGGTCCCGAAATATATTGTTAAGGTGGACTAAGCATGTCGACCTTGCCTTCGGTAACGTATCGCTCATTGTTGTCGGTTTCCTTGAGCCTCTTTCGTCAATGAATGTGTTTTTAGAGGGAAACGCAGACGGAGAATTGCCTGCCTCAGCTGTTAGCTAGCTTGTTAGCTCTCTGAAGATAGTATGCATGCAGACCTTAACGTTGCTGCTGCTTCAGTGTTAAAAGTCTGGACACAATGTCCCTGAGTTAGCCACCTGTGGTGAATTGTTCAATCCTGCAGCATGGTGGGAAAATGTGCTTAATAGGCACAAGGCAGACGCATAGTCTGATAGTCTGATAGGTAGCAATGGCCAGCAGAAGCACACAAGCATCTCTTATTTTATCTCTAGGTGCTTATGTGCAAGTGATTCATTACATTTGAAGTCTAAATATATTAGACAGCTTTAGGTATGTTCTGCAGCTTTCACCTTTAATGAGCGAACTAGTATAAGAATGCTCTTTTCCTAACCTATTGTAAAAGACATCAGGAACAGTGAATGTTGTCTGAATAGATCTGGATGTTATGTGAGTGTCAGGGGGCCACTGGCATGATTATATAGCTACACATGTAACAGTCTGGCATTGAAATAGTTGTGATGTGAAGTGAACTATTGAAATACATTTTTTTTTTTTGCATTGCACTATAACACCAAAATACAAAAACGGCGCTCCTCCTTCCCCTCATGATACTTTATTAAAGCAGACATAGATATCTGTGCAGTTACAGTGTGCGGCCAGTTCCAAAGTCCATTGCAAAGTGCAGCCGACTGCTGCTTCAAATGTCTCGACAAAGCCCTCTAGTGTGAACATATTTAGTTGAATTATGACGAATCATTAATTAAAAAAAAAAAAAAGAAGATATTTGAGAGCTGGAGGACAAATAAGCAGAAATGTAAAATGCCTGAAATAAAACTGTACAGCAAAAAGCTCTGATAAAAGCCTCTAACTCCAGTTGCCTTATACTTTAAAAAGGACGTGCATCAGTAGCAGCATAATAAGTGCTGAAATGAATTATTGATTGAATAATCTAAAGTTCAAGAAACTCATTTTCCTACTTATAATGTGTGAGGATTTTTTTTTTTTTGCTTTACTATTTTATCTCATTGTAAACTGAATATAATTAAACACTTAGACTGTGTCTTTAAAAAAAAAAAAAAGATTTTGAAGATCTTACCTTTGGCTTAAGAACATTGGTAGAAATTAAACAAACAATGCATGTGGAAAATGAAATAGTTTGGCCCCTAGTTAAAAAAAGATATATTCTGTAGTTGTACACTTGAGTATAAAGGCTGTTGAGGCAGTCTAACATGCAGAAAAGTAATCAATTTAAGGACTGCTTGTAATGTGTTTTTAAGTATCAGTTTGCTGTAACACTTACATGTAATATGGGAGACTGCAAATATTACGATGAAATTTTGTTAGCTTTTAATGGACAAGGTCCAGTTTAGTGAGAGGACTGTTGATAACTTAAGTAAATTAATAATTGGTTTCTTTAATGAAAAACTGGAGAGAAAAAAGTGAAGATGGGGAAAATATATATTTTACACCACTGAAATGCACATAGCCTAACCTACAGGGGAAATATTCTCATATTAACTAAAATATATAATCTATGTTCTCTCTCCAATTTAAATGTTGGTAGTAAATTAAGTGTTTATCTTTTCCACAAAAAAAAGATCTAAAATGTTGACATTTTTGGAAAGCATAATATTTTCTTGAATGCACTTTCCAAATAAAAATGGGTTTAATATCAAACAATGCACAGCAGTTCAGTGAGAAAGCAGCCAGAGCACAGAGGCTGTGTTTGCCAGCACATATTTAGTTTCCATGCAAAGTAAGGAATGCTTGATACAGGTATTTTATTTTTATGTTCTTTTAAAGCATTCCTTTATCTCCTTGAATTAATTTTTTGAATTAGTATCAATTAAGTAATGTGTAAGTAATGGTGATGTGGAACATGAAGGGTAAGAGAAGGGGTTGGCAAGTAAGGCTTCTTCCCGTGTGGGCTTCACTATTTAGGTCTAATCCTGTTGTTGTAGTTGGGTTTCTTGACTCTGTTTAGTCGCTATTAACCTTGTTGGACCTTGGCTGAGCCAGCAGTGTTTAATAGCCTGGCCAGACTGCCCGAAAGCTGGTTTTAAGTTAGAGCAATAAGATTTGCTCTGTTGTTATTGATTCTAATTAGAGACTTTCCCTGTGGAAGTATTAGTAAAGCTGTTTTCTACAGTTTTTTTCACTGCCTTCATTAAATGTTAGTGCTTTGAATTTCTTCAGCTGTACAATACTCTGCACTTGGGCCATTGAAAGACAGCTATGTTTGTGTCTGTCTGCACAAATTGTATCTCTGTTCGGAAGTTCTGCTTAAGATATTAAGAATTGTGACGCTTTTGTATTGCCCCATGGTCTTCTGCCAAACAAATGTCCTAACCTTTTATTCCACCCCTTAATGGTGTCTTTCCCCTCCTACTGCAGTGTCATCGCGATCGATGGCCTCAAAAACACCAGTGGGGTTTGTTGGTCTGGGAAACATGGGCAGTCCAATGGCCAAAAACCTGTTAAAAAACGGTTATCCTGTTATTGCCACCGATGTCTTTCCTGAGTCTCGCAAGGAGTTGCAGGAAACTGGTGCCCAGGTAACACTCGCATATCTCACTACACAAACAAACAAACATCTTAACATAACATAGGCTACATAACATGTCAAATCTGACATTTAACCAGCCAGTACGCTACAAGATAATTTGCAACCTTTTATTACTCACCAATTTGTCACTGAGTGAATATGTGTGTCTGAGCCAACAGGTTCTAATAAAAACAATCGTAACGCGTTCCATTTGCACATGCAGGTGTGTAGTCTTTGTTGATGACAGTGTCATTATAATGTCAGTATAATGAAACTATAATTCCAATGTTCAGGTAGTCGACTCTCCAGCAGAGGTGGCAGAGAAAGCAGACCGCATCATCACTATGTTACCCTCCAGCCCTAACGTCATAGAGGTCTACACAGGCCCGAATGGCATCCTCAAGTAAGCAAAGCTGAATATCAGTTTCAGTTTCTCAGTTTGTGACACATCAAACAACCAACCTTTACCCTCCTCTTTGTTTATCTAATTTTTATGAAATCATAATGCTTCTTCTTTGTGCCCTTCAGGAAGGTGAAGAAGGGAACGCTTTTGATTGACTCCTCAACCATCGACCCAGCTGTATCAAAAGAGATGGCAGTCGCCGCAGAGAAGATGGGGGCTGTTTTCATGGATGCTCCAGTATCAGGAGGTAATTTTTTCACTCAAAGAAATTGTCTGCACCTTTTTGTTCAGTTGTCTTTGTGTCCTTGTCCTTCAGGTCTGAAATGTATATCCCTGGATATTTTAATTTGTGTGGCTCTGTCAATTTAAATTGCTGTTCTGTTTTGATATAATGGCAAAAAGGTAAAATTGCATTGCAAGCTTTATTCCTCTCCATTGCCACTTGTAAGACATTATATAAAATAATTAAGAGGACAGTCTCACATTGCTAGTTTGTTAATTTGAGCATACCAATCACAGTGTTAGGATTGTGACCCCTCAGCCTTACTTCTGAACTGTCTCACACTCTTTTGTATATCTAAGCTATGGGACCTTTTGGGTGAGTGCTAGGACATGGATTGTAATTACTGAGCGGTCCAGCCAGTGGGTGCCCTCTCGAGATTTTATTGCTGCTTTTGACCTGGGGTCTTAAAGGCAAGGTTAAGGTTTGAAGTCCTCATTATGTCGCTGCTGTCTACTTGTGACGGCTTCTTGACAGAGCACAGGATCACCAGTTGTGCTTAATGGGCTGAGCTGCGGCGGAGAATCCTGTGTCAGAGCTTTTCATGTTGATGGAGCCGTAATGGCGGGTATCCCATGTTAGTGCCTTTCATGTCAGATAAAGAGTCATAAAGAGAAGCGAAACTGCCCTCACATGTAGTGCAGGAGAGGAGAGGAGGGAGATAAGACATGAAGGAGACACATCGCAGTAAAACTGTCCATCTCCCTGTCTCCCTCGCTCTCTCTTTTATTCACACACACGCACATGATTCTTTCTATTCAGGGATGAGGTTAAGGTATGCTTCATTCTAACACTCCTGCAGACCAGATCAGTTCATACTGTATTTGCTTTTTTTTTTGCACAATTTTCAATACATCACTAATACAGACTGTTGCTCCTGCCCTCTCCCAAACAAACACAGACTGAACCGACATGGCATGTTTACCTGCTGGCGTCTGGAGAACAGAGCAACTGCAGTCAGTGAGATCATAGCCGTAAGCCTGTTACTCTCCCTTAACACAAAGTGTTTACATACTACAGACAGTGCACAGTTTGTGTGAGCAGTCCTCTGTGAAGGTTCTTCCTCTTTCCTGTCTCTTGACTAAGCCTCTTTTACTAGCAAAAGATGACCGATGATTTACCCACTGGCCTCTGCCACCAGCTCTGCAGACATTCGTCTTTCATGCATGCATGCACACATGCTGCATGCACCCGCCCACCCAACGTCGCCTCCAGACAACCATAACTCATATCAATAAGTGAGCACAGCTAGTTTAGAGTGCAAAAGCCTAACATACGCTTAAAAATCCCCTCAAAAGAAACTATGAGAATTAGAAGAGATATTCTCTTAATCAATTGAATTAATCTACAAGGCAAACTATCAAGAACAACTAGCTTCAGCCTTGAAACAGTAATGAAACTATTTAAGGACTAATTTATGGACAAATGAGTGTTCAGATGCCACCCAATGCTTTGTGAGATTGCAATTTTTCATCATTTCCTGGTGTTTTCTTATATATGAATCTAAAAAGCACATTGATCAACAGATTAATTGATATTAAAATAAAGGTTTGAAACAGCCCTTGGATGCTAACTTTGAGACAGGCAGCCCTCTCTTAGCTCTGAGGAATGAAAGTGGGCTATGATGTGACCTTGATAAGCCAGGCTAAAGCTGTGGAGATATACAGCTCATGAAAGCATAAGTAACTTCATAGTAGAGACCTGTAGACATCCCTTCCCTGCACCACTCAGCTCAGTTTCCACATCCCTGGATGGGATATGAGCTCACATGCTCTGATCCAACCAGGAGATGGCACCCTACCCAAATAGGGCATTGTTACAATTATGAGGTGTGTATGTGTGCAGAAGAGAAAAGTATGTGTGACATCAGGCTCAGCTCTATGACCAATAGTACTCTTCATTGTTTGCCCTGCCAAGGAAAGGCGCCTAGTCCTACATTCACTGCAGGGCCCTGTCACTAGCTAGAGACCCTTCTCCTCTATAGTCTCCCGTTGGTGGATTTAATTACCAAAATCATTGGTCTGCAGAGTTCCTTTTTGTTTTATTTTATATAAATCCCAGAGAGTACATCATATCACCTTATAGTCATACTTTGTTTCATGGTTATCAATTATTTTATCTCCTAGATCATCTCGATTTAATCAACTTGGATAAAGAAATTGTTGGAACAAATTAATTTGACACAACAACAGAACATTCATTCAGACTCGCTGCAATTTCTGAGCCTCTTAAACTTTTGCAGACACAGCTGTTCTTTCTGTGGTGTCTGTATTTTTATTTTTATTTTTTTTAGATTTCTTTCTTTTGATATAAACTGGATCCTTTTCTGTATGTGTGGTGTGTTAGGTGGCGTATTTTACACAGAAATGTGTGTGTGTTTGTGTGTCGTATGCGTCACTAGAGGTTTGGCAGCCAACCGTGGGATCTGAAAAGCAAAGTTATATCCTTTTTCTTTTCTTTTTTTTTAAAGCAGTCAAAAGGAAACTTTCACTTTCTTCTCATGGGCTTCTTTCAGGCTGTCTGTGTTACACATTGTGGAGTGTCTTAGCTTTAGACCTTCATGGTCCAATTGTGTAATGATTGTGTAATGATACACACAAACGCAAACAAATTTCCATATTGAAGTCTGTCTCACAAAAAGGCAATTTACATTACACTGTAATGCTTGCACAGACACAGACACACAGAAACAAACACACACACACACACACACTGCCACCACTGTCTGGTGTCATTAAAAGCGTCCGCATGCAAAGCTGACCCACAACAAAACAAGCTCTGATGTCACAGACTCAGGGTGTTGGCAAAGCGATTGCAAAAATAGGAGGTCTGGCTAACAAGCGGCGGGGTCGTTAGCAGTAATTACCCAGAATGCCTGTGTTTGTGTCTGTGTGCCCATGGTGGGCTGCCACATTGCTAACGGACGATGGCTTTAAAAAGCCCTAAAACCTTTCATTGTGTTTTTCCCAGCGCTGGGAAAGTCAGCTATCGGTCCCAATGAAAGCAAGAGGGAGCCTAGCTGTTGTGGGACTCTGAGCACTCGGGCTAATGTCGCTTGTTTGCGAGGTCTTATAATCCTCAGCTAACTAGCTATTTGGGCTCAGTCTCGACACCACTCTAATCATATCCGTACCACACAAACTAACGCCTGAGTGTTGCAGTGTGTCATTTGCCGACTGTTTGTACGTCATCCTGCAACCTGCAGGAGCTTGTTCAAGCCAGGCTGGCACCAGTTGGTTCATCAATCAACGCTGCCAATCCACTCCTGCTGACGATATAGACTGTGTTTCTCCCTTCAGGCCTAAAGGCCCTTTCACAAATATCAAGTTTTACTGTGAGTGACATTTAACATTGAGTCAGACCTGAGATCATTTCAGGAAGTTGGGATTAGTGTTTCTTCACAGGTTGTCCAAAGCTGTTGGGTCTAGTTTTAATTAAGCAATGAAAGGTTAATGGTTTTATTTTAGCTTGGAATTGAGAGTTAAAACACTTCTTTGTCCAAAAGATATATTTTTTTCCAGAGGAAATGTTAACTCTAGTGCTGAAAGTTCCTATTCACTTAAGCAATGTGTGACTTTAGCAATGTGTGACTTTAGCAGTGCAGAATGAGTGTAGGTGCAGATTTTGATGAAGAGGCTTCACATTCATGTAATGAACATGTTGATTTTCCTCTGCTTATCTTGAATGAAAACATTTACGATATGTACAAATGTGCTGGCATTTGTGCCATTAAATTGTTTGGAAGACAATCAAAGTCCAATTAATTAAGAAGGGACCTTTTTGGGCGCCGGTTAAACTGCAGTTGGAAGAGCAGGGGCCCCATATACAGAGGCTATTGTCCTCGACTCGACGCATCGACAGCAGGTTCAACTCCCTTTGATGCATGTCAACTCTTCCTCTCTACATTTCCTGTCTCTCCTCAGCTGTCCTATCAATACAGGCAAAAAAAAATAATCTTAGAAAACAATGGAACTTTTTCTGATGTAAGAGATATCTTGTAAAACTTTTAAAATCAGATATATTTTGTTAGTTGTAAATTCTGAATGAGATGTTTTAGCTGTTATTTTTGTGGGGAAGGGGGGGGGGGCATATCAGACATGATTTATTATTCCAGGCAAAGTATTTTTATATTTCTCAGAACATGTCTGGAGGACATCTTAACAATTTTTTCCAATGGAATTATTGAAGCCCAGAAAGTCTATTTTTCTCCGAAACAAACCAAAGTCACCAAATATCAAATGGGTTACCAACTATTCAATGAAACGACTAGCTGTTGCAGTTTAAATATGAACAGTGTTGTCTTTGTTTTACTTCTGTTACCACAAATGAACTGAGTAACCCGTTGTTCACATACTCACTGATCTCTGCACAATACACATTTACACTTTCATTGTCTGAAGACAAGCAGTAATTGAGACTATTTCACTCAAATTCATTGTAGTATTGTGTATCTGTATTTAACATTTTGGTCTTTATTCAATTTAATGGATGTTATACCACATAGAAAGTGATTTAAGATGTGGAAGACTTGCATAAAAAATAGAAAACAACATTCTTTTTTTTGAAACTGGCCACTGGTACTTCTGGTCAAAGAGAGAGCTGGAGGGCACTCAGGCCAACCTAATCCGGTCTGAGAATGGGATTAATGGAGAAGATGAGCCTGGAAGCATTAATGCAGTTTAGTGAAGGTTAGTGAGGCTCCTCTGACGCTCAGTAAAGGAAGAAGGTCGGATGGGCATGGGGCTGCTGCTGTCGTATAGTCTGTCAAGTTGATGGCTAACTAGCAAAGCAGAGCGCGAGTGATCCAAAGACTAGATTAGCATAACAAGCCTCTCACTGACGGGATCTGGTGACATAGAGGGGAACGGGGGGCCAGTGGGTGGGAGGGTGCAGGGCCAGTAAAGCTACCAGAGACAGCAATGATGGAGGGGTAGTGATTGGGGACTCTACCCCTATGGTCCAGATGG